ATGGTACAGTCCAGATCTCAGTCCAAGATTCGATTAAAACATCATATTACAGTACGACGATATGTGCCCACTAGAGCCACGAGAAACGCCAGAGGAGAGCGAACATGGTGCACCGCTATGTACATACGCTCTTTGGAAGAAAAAGAATCAAGCCGTTGTGACAGGAATTCGTTCTCTTTCATACCCAAGCTGCCGAAAAATCACGTAGCTTATAAAGTCAACAACGGAGCTGTGAAAGCGGGCGTAATGCACGGTGCATGAATATTTCTGTATCCCCCTCGAATAATGTCCACACAGTTGTGGGGGTTCGACTCCCTACGTCCGCATAGATTCGATCCAGATATTTTTCTTCTTTTGGCTCATGTTCGAATCAAATAGGATTCGTGAGACAACTTGTGCAGGCGAATGAATACACTCAACAGCGGATGTAGTGCGCGGTGGATAAGTGCATTGTATTCTGAGAACGACACAAAGTTTGAGCAGCCAGGCGGGGTTCAACTCCCCGTGTCCGCATAGGTGATTGGAACACAGGTTTTTTCTTTTCTTTTTCTTTCTTATGTGAAACTCGAATAGCTGAAACATCGAACTGCTGGGAAACTGAACGCATGAAGATCGCGAGGTTGCGTTGAACCAAGAACCCTAAAGCAGCAACTAGTGATGGCGCATCAGAGGCAGTGCTCCGGATCACCGCCTGCGTTCTCCCGGGTTCTCCGACACTCCGACACAAAACTCGCACCTCCTGCTTGCTCGCAAGGATGCCCCCAGTGGTTCGTTACCGGGGCCAGTGAGCCGCCCATGTACCGACCAATAGCTCATCCCCATCGCAATTCAAGATCTTGTGTATGTACTGGCCCAATGCTGCGCCCAAAATTTGGGCATCGTCGACCGCGCGCGCCGCCGACGCGTGTGCGCTTCAGCCGCCCCACGGCAGCCGCCCCCGCTTGCGCTCTTCTACCCTCCGCATTCGCTCTGCTACCCTCCGCTACGCCTCCGGTGCCTCGCCCGTCGTTGCCTCCGCGCCCAGTACCCACCATGTCCCCTCTCTTCGCTTCCAAGCGCACCTTACACCCGCGAGCGACACGTCCCCAGGCCTCCATCACAGCGAGAGCGCACCTCCAGGGAAGGCGGGCTGAGGCGGTCCTCTTCCTCTTCCTGGGGCGACCCCGGCGTAGCCATACAGGGCGGCGACATACATGTGGAAGCTGAAGGGTGTGACTGGGCCCATGGCGCGCAGAGAGGGGGGAACGGGGCCACGGTGCCGGTACAAGGGGAGGGTGAACCAGCGCTGGGAGATCTGTGGCAAAAAGAAAGAAAGCAGGTGAGCGTTCAACGGATTGTGAAGGATAAGGAGGAGACTGATGATGAAGGTCCAGGAGAATTCTGGGCCAGCCACCGGTCACGATGGAGAGGAACAGGGGCAACGACGAGCGCTGCGCTTACGCGTCGCCGTGACGGGTACCACCTCGCGCACAAGAACCAGCGGAAGTGGGGGAAATGGACTTACGCGCTCTCTTCGACGCTCTCGGAGCTTGCACTCCCATTCCTTACACTTCCTTCGTTCCTTTCCATCTCCAAAGTCCCCAGACTCCCCCGGCCCACGACGCTCGTCAGGGAGAGCTCCGATTCCTCGCATTCAAGTGTCCCTACCTCGTCGGCACAGAGGCGCGGGTCGATGGGGATGGAGTCGATATCCCGCGAAGAACACACTTCGCTGTGTTTATCGAGCGTGGCGCCGTACCCGCACTCTTCGTTGTACCGGTGGGACGCATGCGCGCCGTTTCTATCATGCGAGTATACGCACCCATGCAAGCCGGGAGGCAGAAACGGAGGCGGTACGACAAAGGGTGAGTTGCAGCTGCTGCGGGGCGAGTCCATGGTTAGGCTAATGTCGGTGTTGGTGCAGGCGGTGTTAGAGTCGGCGTACCCATCGCTATACGTGTATTGGGACGAGAATCCGGAGATGGATAATGGCATCGTATCGAGTGTGCGGGTCGGCGCGTCGACAAACGGGGAGAGCAGGAAGAGCCGTGGCAGCAGCAAAGTGGAATCGCGCGGGATCGCTTCGGGCTCATTCGAATTCACATCGTGACTGTACGGCGACGGCCATCCTTGAACGCGCTCGCTGTGGACTTCGCCTTGGGCTTAGCAGATCCGCGCACGCCCTTCTTGCTGTATTCACAGTCGACTCCGCCCGCGAGACAGCGCGTGCAGGAGGGTTGGTCGCCGGAGCACTGCGCCGCGCGTCTCAGACTCGGGACCAAAGGAGGACAGAATGCGAGAGAATGGAGCCAACCTTTACTTTCCTCGACCTACACTTGTCGCATGCCCAGCGTATGCGGCGCCGCGCGTGTTCGATCGGTCGGTGGATGATACGTGTGGTGAGGTCGCGATCGAGGATGCACCCATAGTCTGGGAAGTCGAGACGCGTCTTCTGTGCAGCTTGAGGCGGGTCGTCGAGCGAGTGCAAGGGGTCGAAATTCCAGAGCGGGAGCAGGTCTTTGGACGGGGACGTGTCCATTCTCACTGCGGCTGTGGGAGCAGGAGGAAAGAGCCTGAAAATAATCTGCAGCCCTGGCTGTCCCAATCGGGCAACTGGACGAGCCTAAAAATGATTGAATCAGTTCCTCGAAGCTTTGCTCTCCTCCCAAATCACCCTCACATATTCAACGACGTCTGGCAAAGCCTCCCATTCCAGGGATACCACGTCTGGCTACCCAGTCCATAGCGGTCGGTCGCGACGGTCAATACTCGAACCGAATAGAGGCGTTTTCTTCCGAGCTCGAAGGCTTCTGTTCTTCTTCTTTTTTCCTGTCCATCTTGTCGACTCGTCCGGGCCCCGTCCTTTTCGTTTGGCTCTCCATTCCCGCCAAGGTCTGCTCAGACCGTATTCGAGTCTTCCTAACTCTTCTCACATCCTATCTCCAGGCGTTGAGACCTAGTGTCTTACAGTGACTTCCCACTCGTAACCCCGTCAAGAAGATTTTTGCCAGAGATCATCCAAGCGACATCCATCATGCCAGTTATCCACCCGCCCTTCACCGATTTGCCCGAAGGAGTCGTTCTAACCGATGCAATGAGCTACGCCGTGCTGCACGAGCACCCCACCTGGTTCCTCGACGCCAAGGATTTCGTCACGCTCAAGCCTCATCCCGACTCCAGTAGTGCGGTCGAAACTCCGCTCCTCTACCCACGCGAGCACCAGCCACCGCGTCCGAGGCGCACGGGCCGCGTCCTCCGATGCACGTTCTGCCCCAGGACTTGGAGTACTGTGAACGCCAAAAGCATGTGGGTGCGGCATGTTCGGGAGAGGCATGGGGTTGCGCTCTCGAAGGATATAGATAGGCCGGATAGACTGGACACCAAGTTAAAGTCGCGCTCTCGTCCTAAATCGAAAGGTACGTCGACAAAATTTTGGATTCAATAAATTCTAAACCTTTGGCCAGCAAACAGAAAATTTACGACCACGGCTGCTGAGCCTCTGTTACCCGCGCGCGAAGATTCCGCCCCCGCGCCGGCCCAATCCCAGGCCCACGATGAGATGGATGTCGATGAGGATTCTTGCAAACCTACGAGTGACCAAGGCGAGTCCCATCTCGCTAATTTCTATCCGGTCTGGCTAACGGAGTCGCTGCACAGGTGGACTCCGAGTCCCCGAGAACGACGTCACGGTGATGTCTAGCGTATTCGTGCAGCTCCGCATTCCGCCGTTGACGCTGTAATATCTTGTAACGCGATTTACTTTGTTGACTGTGATCTCTGTGATTCGCACAAAACGACAAAACGACAAACATGACTGGACCATCTTTCATCCCGCCACGGCTGAAGCGAGTCCCGCGTAAACGGCAAAACTGGGTTGCAACTAACTACTGCCGTTGGGAACATCCTGAGTTTCACACGCCGACACCACACATTTCCAATTCTGGTTCGAACATCCATCCCGCACTAGAAAAAGCGAACGCGCGCTTCCTCCGAAGCTCAATGATGTCGCGCACCTGGCAAACGTCCACAGAGGACGTCCAGGCGGACGTAGTGCATGGCGCACCGCTGCAGTCATTGCGACGTGCGAGATAGATTTGACTCAGCAGTTGTTGGGGTTCGACTCCCCGCGCCCGCGTGTGGGATCTTAGTTGAAGTACTTTTTTTTCTTGTTCTCGCACTTCGGATGATCTGCTTCAGGAGAATCGGATGCGAGAAGGTGAGGAGGGGCATGCGGACGCCGTTGTGTATTATGCTTTCATCTACCTTTCACGATAAGTCACGAAATAAAGGAACATCCGACATGCACGCATGAGGGGCCCTGAAAATATGGCTACTGGACAAGATGTTCAAGCGGACGTGGTGCGCGGTGCACGGCTGTGGCGGGTAAGACGTTTGTCATGGGAACAATTAAGCAGCTGTCGGGGTTCGACTCCCCTCGTCCGCATAAATACTGCTGAGCTACGTCTTTTTCCTCGCAGTTCAATGCAAAATCTTGATAACCAAGCTCATAATTCAACGCTACGAGGGCTGGCTCTCCTAGTACTAGTATTAGTTGAATCAAGAAATAAAACGACTTGCAGGGTCTCTGGGCTTTAAAAGAGGGAAGGTCAACAAGCTTCTAGGCATGATGTTTCAGCGGACGTGGTGCACGGTGCACTGCTGCTAAGCATCCAGGTGCGATTCGAGTCAAGAATTGAGCAGCTGGAGGGTTTCAAGTCCCCGTGTCCGGAGATATAGTTCATACAACTGTTTTTGCTCGCTCTCAACTCGAAATCTTGATGTAATCAAAAGTGAATGCGGCTCAGTCGGCATCTTTTAGAAATCTGTTAAGACAACCACTCGTACAGTACTAATGTTTATCGTCCGTAAACTCGTTGTTCAGCCTATGAACCACCCTATTTAAATACACCCCGCGCGCTGGCTTTCCCTGAATGATTCAAGAAATAAAGGACTCTCAAGTTGCTCTCAAGTCTCTGAGATTTCACAGTGCAGCTGAGCAGCCGTCCCGACATAATGCTCAAGCGGACGTGGTGCACGGTGCATTGCTGCAGTGCGTCGTCAGGAGTACGAATGAAAGTTGAGCAGCTGTCGGGGTTCGAATCCCCGTGTCCGCGTTTAGAGAACCCTCTGTCTCTTTTCCCTTGTTTTGGTACTTCGGGCGGATTTGATTCAGGAGAGTTCGATGCCATCCGGTGAGGCTGGGTGCCGTTGCGTTATGGACTCCCACACCTCGTTGAATTGACGAAAATGAATGTGTATGTCCACAGAGATTGATATACGTCGAGTACTCAGCGACCTAGAGGTTATGTTCAAGTGCACGGTGTACCGCTGTAATGGTACAGACAGCATGAGTGGAGCAGCTGTCAGGGTTCGACTCCTGTGTCCGCATAGGACCGTCCCAATGATAATCTTTTCTCACGGTTGAAGTTGGTTTTTTTAGTTATACTACTCGCTAGAATTGGACGCGGTGAGCAGGATACTCGACTATGATGCGGAAATTCGTATCGCTGACTCGAATTAAGGGGGATGTGTACCTCCTCCAAGCTTCAAGCATGTCGAGTAGCAATTATCTAGACATGATGTTCGAGCGGACATGCATATGGTGCATGATGCACGGCTGCAGTGTATGCTCAAGTCAGTGCAGGGTTAAACATGGAATAACTGTCGGGCTTCGACGGGGTTCGACTCCCCGCCTCCGTATGTGCCGTCGTGTCGATTGTTTTCTCACGGTTCAAGTTTTCAAAGTTGTCATCAACTTTCTTTCATGCTCTAGTCAAGCGAAAGGGAACTGTGGCCTTTGCGACTTATCTGTGCGCTTAGAAAGCGGCCTTGGAGGCTGATGATGTCTCAATATAGCGGAGGTAATACACCCGAGCTGCAAGTTCTGTCAAAGTTCTGTTCATTTTCTCTTAATGGGGACGGGCATCACCCGATCCCAAAGTGGCAGCTTTGGCCTTGTTTGGTTCATGGTACAGGTCGGTTCCAACTTTGTACCGCTATCTACATTTTTTCACGGCCTGTTGTGGAAAAACTGAATCGGCAGATTTCAAGAAAATTAGTTAAAGAGTAGATCTACGTAGCCTTATCATGTAAATTTTCACATTACGTGGGTGTGTATGCGGTCTCAAGGAATACTTGCATATGTCTGGGATTCCACATGGACTGTTAAATGATTAGGCTACGTAGTCTTGTAGAATGGATAGCTCTCTAAAACTTTTCTCTTGGCGCCGAAGCCATCGGTGAAGTTGTGAACAAGTTTATACATTTCTGCGCTGGCATCTCAAACACGTTGAAACAGCTCAAGTCACGCTGTGACAGCCATTTACCTCCGGTTTCCAAAAGCCTAAGGCTTTTTCCCTGCACATCTATGCCTCCTACACAAAAAAGAAAGTGCCAGTAAAATTGGTCCCATCATAGAAGTACCGCGCCGAAATTTCGATTTGGGCCCAACAAATGCAGCGGTACCAATTTCAGAGCCTATTTTACTCTTCACCACACAACCACGGGCCAACTAAAAATTCCGGCACGGCCATTTTGTTCGGCGAGCACTTAATCGAGATTTGTCCCGTTGAGTCCAACCGTTTCACATAGAAGGGGAAAAGCCTTAGGCTTTTCGCGAGGTGACAGGAAATTTGCATTCACGGGCCAAGGAGGACGTCCAAAGCCTTGGTCCCTGCCACAGTAAGGAATTATATTTACTTCTGAACGCTCAAGAGTACTCCAGCCTTTTGAATTGCCTGAGCAAGCCCCGAACGAGGCCAGTGGTTGAACCGTGACATATGTCACACCGTGTGACGGCTGGCTCCTTCCTACATTCCGCACAAGGTACACAGGGTAATTCTTGTGGATGTGAGGAGCAGAAAACATTTAATATGGGTTACTACTGCTTACAGTGAGTTTTCCGATCAAGAGTGAGTATAATGGCTGAACTAAACCGTGAATACATCGAAATTCCGCTTATTTATTGGATTTTGGCCCCACGGAACGCCCCACAGTTCGGGATTTGTGTCGGGAAATAATCTGATGAGCATGAAAATTCTATATCTGAGCAAAACCTGAATCTTCTAGGTCAAAGTCGTACACAATGGGCGGTTTCATCGATCTTGCCTAAGAGAACAACGAATCTGGGCAAAACTTCGACAAACCGACCGGTGCTCCATATACCTGTAAGGTTTAGAGTTATTTTCCAAAAGATGTTGCCAAAATGCACGAGGAAATAGCTACAGGGCGGAACATGTACGAGCAAAACACAATCGAGAACAAACAAGGACAAAGCTGCCGGATCGATCAACGGCGGTGCCCGTCCCCACTCTTAAGCGATGCTTGCCGTAAGATCGGGCGGAGAAGTAGCCGGCCCGGCGATGCTGGCATTTCTGGACTCTTCCTCTCACTCTCCTGCGGGCAAGAAGATACTGTGAGGGATCCGGCCTCGAGCGAACCTACCAATGTCTAACGTGGTAAACCCTCTTCGTGTTCGAATCTTGGCTGCCTGTTGACTGGATGCAGGCTCAGCGGACATTTCGCCTCGCAAACCCCGGCTCTTGGAAACGCGTCTACGACCTTTTTGTCAACAGGAGTGATGACATTCTGGGACGTGTCTCGCTACCAGATGGAAAGGCTGTGTCAACCCTCAGGCTTGTGTCCGCTCCGACACCCGAGTCGCCGACCGACAGAAGCGCTGTGTGCAAGTGTGTTTTATACGGAGAAACGACAGATACCATAGACACCAGCCTCTTCAAACGCCAACTCGTCCCAACTCTATCGGAGCAGAATATGTACACGATGAAGCCCAGCTCCATCTCTGGGTTGGGTGCTTTCGCGAGTCGGGACATCGAGATTGGCGAAGACATAATCGCCGAACGCCCATTTATCGTGTTCCCCTGCGATTCACCCAAGGACTGGCCCGCCGAAGACCAGATCCCCTTAACAGCGTTTATCTATTTTGCTGTCGGAAACGTTCTACGAGAAGATCTACCACTGGCCGAGCGACCCGAATTCTTCGACTCTTCGGATACCAGCTCCCAGTCCGGTGTGTTTCAGCGAAACGCAAGCTGGTTGCCTACACCGCTTCCCGGCAGCTACGGAGGTGGGTATGGTATTATATCCCGACATATTACACGGATGAATCACAGGTGTGTTGCTTTCCCCCAAAAAAAGGAGCAGGCGTAGAGATAACCTGATAGCCTTTTATCAGCTGCGAGCCAAATGTGGTACAGCGCTGGGATTGGGACTCCTTGACGTTATCTGTTCGAGCAGTATCACATATCCGCAAAGGCGAAGAGCTACTCCGCTCTTACATCGACCCAACGCACCTTGCTCCCCGCGCAGAACGAGTCAAAAGGCTAGCCAACCTGTACGAGTTCGAGTGCTTTTGCCCATCCTGCTCTCTTCCACCCGAAGAGTCGCTGCAGAGCGATTCAAATCGTCGCCAAATACAGGAGGAGCTCGACATGCGTTTCGCAACCGGCTGGGACATCGACACGGAATACTTCGCATGGCTGGGTGATCCCTCACTCCCGGATGATCATCTCGTCAAACACAGCACAGAAATCGTCCGTTTACTAGATCAGGAGCGTGTGGGATTCACCCGGTTGCAGATGTTCCACTGCATTAGGCTGATGAGGGCGTACTCAGCCTTGGGCGACAAGGAAAATACCAGGCGGTGGGCCAAGAGAATAGTCTTAATCCTGGAACCTGGACTGGAGACCATACGGGAATTTGCTCTCAAAATGGTTCTAGATACCCAGGTATTTACTGAAAGGCGCGCGGGTTCGGAACCTGCGTCCCCGTAATGTATTTGAATACTTGCTCTAGTTCTGTCAATCTCTCCTTCCTCGATTATTTCCCCGGCCGCGTGCGTGCGACAAAGCGAGTGTTGGGACTTGTACTGGGTGTTGCCCAGGCTCCACCCCTCAATTGTTTCTCCAGCGGCGCGCTTAGCGCTAAATAGCGTAACAAAAAGAAGAGTACATTGTTCAAGTTTTCAAGTCCGAGTCGGGGTCTTATTACATTAGTCCGTATTTATAAGATTATAGGGAGAACGATGGAGTGGGGGGAGACGGCAGAAATTGAACCAGGCTCTTGCGTGGCAAGTCACAAGTCTTCTTACGAATGGTTGACCCTAGCGAGGAATAAAATCGTCAGATCCAACTTCGAGACATACAGGATATGATGGACTAACTGGATAAACCACTGTTGGTCAGTAGCGACACACAGGCCGCCGTGCGCCGACTGAGCCGACGCGCAATTCGGTGCGACCCAGTCAATCACGTCCGCCTGGATCGAGTATTTCAACGTTAGTATCGGAGCGCAGTGAGGCACAGGAAGACACGGACCCATTCGGTGTTGCAATATTCGAGCGGGCTGGCATGTTGGTTGACGAAGAAGGAGGTGCAGCTGGCGTATTTCAGGGTCACGGTGTTGTTGGTTCCCTGCGAGTAAGAACATCAGGAAATGGGCCCCAAAGCGCAAAAGCAGCACTTGCCGTTCCGATGGTGAAGAGCGGCGCTGAGGGGGGAAAGGGCATGTAAGTCGATGCAATCAATGCAATGCGGAATCCACTCGCCGATATTTTGGCTGTTGTACCGGAGAGCGTCAGCGATGATATGGCAGTCATTCGTGTTCGGTCCTCCACCCGCGGGACTGAAGCAGTAGGTCGTGCCTGAAAAGAGGGTGAGCCTATCGAGATACCGGAGTTTAAGATTCGTGATTTCTTACATGCATTTCCGCAGACGTCTAGCTGACGATCCACCAGAGGCTTCACTTTGGAGCCGAATTTCGGGCAGGTGGCGTATTGTACGAGCACGTTCTTGTCTTTGCCGATATAAGTCTCCGAGAGTGTCACCTGGCCTTCGCAGACTGAATAATCAATCTGTTAGCGAGTACGAAGATTATTGCATATATAGACAGAATTGATAACCACCTTGGGAAGCAGGGATCACACTCGCGAGAGAGAGGCCGGAGAGAAGAGCAGCTGAGAGGAGTGTAATGAACCTCATTGTTGTGAAGGTATTGGATTCGATGTAGGTGCTGGTGGATTCCCGTCGCTTTTATACGCCCCAGGTTTCGGGCTTGGCTGACCGTGAATATTTGTATGAGACAGAGCGAGGCAAGA